GGTAAGGAAAAATTGACAATAATTTCATTTTTCTGTTAAATTTGTAATTTCATGAAATATGATATAAACTGATAATATGTTAGGTATTTAGTAACTTTCAAACTTTACTGGGTGGATGATTGTTTTAGGGTGCAGGTTGTGTTATTTTTATCTGACGTAAGTGGGTGCCTGAGTAGAAGCACCAACATTCTATAATCTGTTCCAAGAAATTTACATGTAAATCCTGCCATTATCCAAAAGGTACAAAAGCTAAGTTTGATGGTACTTGGTATGTGAATCAAGGACCATGTAGAGATTATGCATGGCATATTAATGTTGTTATCAGTAAAACTATGTTGTTGCTTTGGTAACAGAAATTGTAAAAACAAGGAAATATGATACTTAACTGACATCATGTGATTACTCATAAAATGGTCATTTCAAATTGCATAACCATAATTTCTTCCTAGTTATGTGTTTACTCAAAAAAACAACAAAAGACAAATTTTTCAAGTCAATTTCCATAATTGAATGGTTTGAAGTAGGGAATCTGAAACCATTACACAGATAGGGGGACTGGACACACTCTTGTTCAAAGGCGATTCTTCCGAGGGAGCAGATTTGATGCTGTATTTGATAAAAAAGGAAATATATATAATGCCAAGCTCTCTAAAACAGATTGCTATGATGGTCTTTATTTGTTTGTTGTGAGGTTTAATGCTATTTTACACTTATATTTAAACAGGATTGTTCCAGTTACAGTACATGCTGCATTTGATAAGGTATTTAAAAATGTTTTTGCTTGTTTTCTTTAAAACATGAAAGCATACCAATTTTTACTGAATAGTGAAGTATTTATATCATAGAAAAGTAAATTAGTTAAACTTAAAAATGTTCTCTGTGAATGATTAAGTTGGAAACTTATTGTAATTTAGTTTATAGTGAATAGTCAGTTGTGATATAAGCCATCTTTGTGGGGAAATATTCATAAAGTTATGGGGAACACACCTATTTAAGTGTTATGTAAATTTATAGGGATTATTTTACAGGAAAAGGCCTTCAGTGTTTGAAAATTAATTGACCTTGTGTAATACATCTAGTACAGTTTCAGAACCATACAATTATAATGTAAAATGTATGCAGTTTATTCACTTAATGCATGTATACTATTATTTTCTAGGCAGCTGAATTTTTCCACATGAAAATCACACATATACCAGTGGATCCTGTTACGTGTAAAGTTGATATCAGAAAAATGAAGAGAGCTATTAATGGAAGCACATGCATGGTAAGACAGTCAAGTTGATGATGTCCTAATTAATAAATGTAGTCTATTCTTATAGAAAATGCCAGTATGTATTCATACTGTGATTACCTATAATGTGTAGAGTTTAAGACAACATATTTTCTCTGTGTGTATTTCAAAAGGGACATGTAATTATCAGAGTAATTATCAGTTTTTTCAAATATCAAATTTGAGCACAATATATCTTCAATATTATGTGATACTAAATAGAAAAAAAAATTCAGACTTGATATATAGTTACAGAGTTAAATACTACTAATTGCATATTAATGTACATTTTAACCAAGACAGTCAGTTTTCAAAGAAAGTTTAATTGGATTTTTTATTTATTAAGTTAAGATAACTTGAAAACACCATGTTTGTTGACAATTACTTCCCTTGAACAATGATTAAGAAAATGTAGTGTCTTCTTTTACTGCTTACTTGTACATTGAATTGATTTGTGCTAAAAATTCTGATGACTTATTTTTACATTTTGCACATAACTTGCATACTTATAATGTGTAAAGTATATTCCATATTCACTCATGTCATTTTCAAATGACAAATTTCTCAACTAATGAAGTTTCGCCCTTTTTTGTGTCGCCTCTACGGAGTAGTGGCGACATATAGGGATCACTTCTCCGTCGTCTGTCTGTCCGTCTGTCTGTCTGTCTGTCCGTCTGTCTGTCTGTCCATCCGTCCGTCACAAAACTTGTCCGGACTACCCCTCATAAACTACTGGTGCAATTTCATCCAAACTTTACAGGAATGATCAGTATCAAGTCTAGTTGTGCATATTGTCAGCATTTTCCGGTTCAATGATTTTTGTCAGAGTTATGGCCCTTTAATAATTTTTAATTTTAAAGTTTGTCCGGACTACTTCTCTTATACCACTAATGCAATTTCAATGAAACTTTACAGGATTGATCTGTAGCTCAAGTCCTTGCGCATATTGCAAGGGTTTTCCGGTTGAATGATTTTTGGCCGAGTTATGGCCCTTTGATAAAAAGGTGTTTTTTTCTGTGTGTTGCCAGATACACAATAGCTTGTCCAGACTACTCCTCATAAACCACTGGTGCAATTTCATGCAAACATTACAGGAATGATCAGTACCAAGTCTAGTTGTGCATATTGTCAGCATTTTCCGGTTCAATGATTTTTGTCAGAGTTATGGCCCTTTAATAATTTTATTTTTAAAGTTTGTCCGGACTAGTTCTCTTATACCACTTATGCAATTTCAATGAAACTTTACAGGATTGATCTGTAGCTCAAGTCCTTGCGCATATTGCACGGGTTTCCGGTTGAATGATTTTTTGGCTGAGTTATGGCCCTTTGATAAAAAGGTGTTTTTTTTCTGTGTGTTGCCAGATACGCAAAAGCTTGTCCGGACTACTCCTCATAAGCTACTGGTGCAATTTTATCCAAACTTTACATGATTGATCAGTACCAAGTCTAGTTGTGCACTGTTCGTCTGTCTGTCCGTCTGTCACAAAATTTGTCCCAACATGAAATTGGCCATTATGAGGCGACACATGTGATTACTGATCGCTCTTGTTCCTATTTTACAGTTGGTTGGCTCTGCTCCCCAGTTTCCACATGGATCCATTGACCCAATAGAAGAGATAGCAGCTGTAAGTTCATTTACTTTATCATAGTAATAACAATAAATACTTAGAAAGAAATTATTTGCTGCATCAATAGACTATATCAAACTTTTTGTCCAAACTAATATGACATTATTCATAAAGAGCATGTTAAAAAACTTAAAATTTTTATTCATGTTATATTATTTTTACTCTGATTTTATTACAGCTTGGGCGTAAGTACAATATTCCAGTACATACAGATTGTTGTTTGGGAGGCTTCCTGGTTCCCTTTATGGAGAAAGCTGGTTTCTCTGTACCAAAAGTTGACTTTCGGGTACCAGGAGTTACTAGTATATCTGCAGATACCCATAAGGTTTGTAGTTAATTTAAAGTGTCTTGTTTGTATATCTCTTAGATATATTTTAAATCATATTAACAAGCTTACGAAAGATTAATGAAACTATTCAACCTAAAACAGAAAATAAATATGTTGAAGTCATTTATGTTGCTTAAGAGATTAAAAGCACATTTATCCATCTTATGTTGAAAAGCATAAACGGATAATGTAGTGTTGATGATTTAGTTTGACTAAATAATTTCATGTGTACTAACATGTCATTGTTCTTAAAACTACCTCTTATATGAGTGTAAACTGACTTCTTTCAAAATTCCAAAATAGTGAAAATAAGTGAAGTTTTATTTCCATTTCAGTACGGGTTTGCTCCAAAAGGTTCGTCTGTCATACTCTACAGTGATAAAGAATACAGAAAGTACCAGTTCTTTGTCCAGCCAGATTGGCCCGGTGGTATTTACGCCTCACCAACTCTAGCAGGTAATATTTTTGTTTCACACTGAGCTTCTGTATTGTAGAAAATATATACCAAAATGTTTTTTGACTATCACCATATGTATAGGTAGAAAGCTTTGCTTGTAAAATAAAAATCATCAGAACTTAATATTTCAGATTTACAGTAACAATACTTCATACAAATGTTTATCACATACCCGTGCCGATTTTGTCACTCTCTAAAAATGGTATTGCACTGCCGTCATATATTTTGATGTGACAGTCTTCAGACAGTCTTTACTTTTGGTATGTGATAAATAGAATATTAAATTTGTGTAAGTTCATTACTAAATTCATTGAACTTGCTAAATAAAATAATATTATTCAGCTTGTTCAATAAATTCGGTATTAAACTTACACTCATTCAATATCCTCTATATATGGGTTTGTGTTCTGACAGTGTGACATTTTATGGAGACATTTATTGTTATATATGTGATGTTATTACACTTATATATGTGATTTTATTACAGTTAAATATGTGATGTTATTACAGTTATATATGTGATGTTATTACAGTTATATATGTGATGTTATTACAGTTATATATGTGATGTTATTACAGTTATATTGTGATGTTATTAAAGTTATATATATATATATATATATATATATATATATATATATATATATGATGTTATTACAGTTATATATATGTGATGTTATTAAAGTTATATATGTGATGTTATTATAGTTATATATGTTATTACAGTTATATATGTGATGTTATTACAGTTATATATGTGATGTTATTACAGTTATATATGTGATGTTATTACAGGCAGCAGATCTGGAGCTGTTATTGCATCATGTTGGGCAGCTATGATGTACTTTGGGCAGGACGGGTATGTACAGAGCACTAGGAAGATTGTGTCAACAGCAAGATATATTGCACAAGAGTAAGTTCTTCATTATATGTGTGAGGGGATATATTTAAATGTATTCATGAATTTTTTAAAGCTTCACTAAAAGGACAGCAAGTGTTGTATGTTTAAAGTATTATCAAATTATGATTTTTGTGTGTTCATAAATCATAAATTAAATTTTTGGGAAGTTTTCCTGTCACTGACTGTCACTGTTGTAAATTAAATTGTAAATCTGTTTTGGATGCTTTTTAATCTAAGGAAAGTCAGTGTGTGATGTAAAATAACTTAATGTGTCAATTATTGCAAAGCTAATTCAGTAATACATGTAATGCTTAATCTGTATATCTTATTCAACAGATTGAGCAAAATAAATGGTATATACGTTCTTGGTGATCCTCAAGTGTCGGTGGTAGCTATAGCATCACATGACTTCAATATCTTCCGGTTGTCAGATGCCCTAGCTGATACAGGCTTCAGTCTTAACCCACTCCAGTTTCCATCTAGGTATGTAGAATACAAATTATTACAAAGTTAAATTATATAAGATTTTTTTATAAAATTGTAAATAGTTATAGCATGTTCAGGTTTGTCTTCAAATGTAAATAGAGAAAGATTAAAAACCTGCTTTTTGGCATATTTTGAGATATTTTTGGAACTTTGCAGCTTCTATGTTAACTAAATGTAGTGCATTTATTTTAGAGTGACAAACTCAGAGATTATACTTGACTATACATCTTCTGTATAGAAGAAAAATTCTACATCCATGACACTTTCTCCAAATAAGTTTAAATTTCTTTGGACAATTATTGAAGAAAAAATTAAAGTGTATAACACCTGTATATAAATCTGTATTATTTTGTATTTTAGTATACATCTGTGTTGTACATTGTTACACACTCACCCTGGTGCTGCCGATAACTTTATTAAAGAAGTTAAAAAAGCTGTCACTGAAATCATGAAGGACCCAAAAGCAAAATGTGGTGGAATTGTAAGTTATCAATCTCTGAAATGTTTCATTTCTCTTAAATGTTCAAGTTAAGTCTTCCAAGTCAAATCTGATTTCATAATTATGCAAACAATATATATAATAACTTTGTGATTGATAAATATATATGTGCACTATTAATTTTTCAGTTTTGAAATTGTTGAAAACATGTCATACAGAGTTAATTGGAATTCTATGTAGTGTTTAAGTAGATTGTATAATATCACATGTAGAATTGAATCAGTTAAATTGTGAACTAAAGAATAATTGTATATAATTATATATTTCAGGGAGCTATATATGGTATGGCTCAGTCAATCCCAGATCGCTCAATGGTATCGGAGATTGCCGGTCTCTTCCTGGATGCATGTTACAGTACCAAAGATCCTGAACCTGACAAACCTGATAAAGCCAATGGTAAAACAAATGGCAAAGTTGGCAAAGCCAACGGCAAACACTGATTGTGTATCTATATATAGCATTCTCTTACTAAGGTGCTTCATTAAGGACAGAGATTATATAGGGGAACTAGAGGTTGAGAGAAAGAAATAATGATGTATAATTTAGTAATATACAAAAAAATGACTTTTATTTTCTATTATCTATTTTCTCTTGTAGAAAATTTATTTTAATAGTGTTAGAATTGCATTACAATATTGCTTTTGATGTTATTTTTGTATTTTAGGTCTTAAAGAAAACTTTTGAAACTTGCATAACGTTTCTCTTATAATTGGAAATATTTGCAGTTTATTCATTATGTGTCAAGTTATTGTATTTTTTTTAATTATTGATTATGTCATATGATTTTTGTGGAGAGAAAAAACCTACAAGGACTTTTTTTATTGTAAATTAATGATATTATGAATGTATATGTAAATGTCACTTCATATATTCTTTTTTTTCCGCAAAAATCAGAAGCACCTGGGTTTAATGTTTATAATGCTTTCCAAATAGAGACCAGATATCATGTGATCTGATGTCATGTGATCAGACATCATGTGACCTGATATCATGTGATCAGACATCATGTGACCTGATATGATGTGATCAGACATCATGTGACCTGATATGATGTGATCAGACATCATGTGACCTGATATCATGTGATCAGATATCATGTGACCTGATATGATGTGATCAGACATCATGTGACCTGATATGATGTGATCAGACATCATGTGACCTGATATGATGTGATCAGACATCATGTGACCTGATATGATGTGATCAGATATCATGTGACCTGATATCATGTGATCAGACAGCATGTGACCTGATATCATGTGATCAGACATCATGTGACCTGATATCATGTGATCAGACACCATGTGACCAGATATCATGTGACCTGATATCATGTGATCAGACATCATGTGACCTGATATTATGTGACCAGCCATTTGACATTGTAAAGCAAACTGTGATTGTTGAATGGACCAATTGTTGAATGGACTTGAAAACAAGACAGCTACAGCATTTTATTACAACAGTCAACTATGAATTATAATGGTTATGATTTATCAGTTTTTACTTTATATAATTTATTAACAATTAGGCCTTTTTGCTTTTGTAATAGTTGTCAGCTTTCAAGAATTTTTTTTTTGCATATTTTTATTAAATTTATAGCAATAAAATTTAAATACAAGTAATAAACTTGACATTGTGTTAACAGTTCATTCTGTATATCAGTTTGATCTATTGGAGCATTCTTATAAACACTTAAAAGGAGTAACTTTTCAAAATATCTTATTTAGGATTTTACATAACAACAAAATAATAAAGTTGCATATGGGAAGCATTTAATTTTATATATGGTACTGTTCATCAGACAGTCAAAAGTTTGGAAGGTAGCATTTTGTATAAGAACAGTGATAGTTTGCTACATATAGCCTGAACTGTCTTGTTTTTAAGTTTTTAGATTTTAGCACACTTGTACTTAGTTTATGTGTTTAAATATTTGTTATAATTTTATTGAAATGATTGTATTTATTCTCTGGAGACAGAATTTGGAAATTTCTAAAAATAGAAGATGAATTACATGACCAATGTTGATCAAACTTCTTATGATTAATTATTTAGTACTCATTCACAGTTTTATATTAATATCTTCTGTACATTTTTTCGTTTAAGTGCCCAAGTTGATGTATGTAAGAAATTCAAATTGTATGTGTCTATACATTTGGAACCTCAGTGTAGTTCTTTTGACAGAATAGATGTAGATTTAGGATAGAACAAAGTTCAATGAGACACATATTATTTGTCAAATTATTTTTTCAAATTAATGTTCCTTAGTATGAAGTATGAGTAAATTATGTATTTTTTTTAATTTTACAGGTAATTTCATCAATGCAACATATAAAGTTAGTCAGATTATATAATTTATTATTTCTTTAGATGTGTACCAATAAGTTTGTCAATTTTGTTTGATTTTCTGTTTTATTTGTTTACTATTTTATTTTAGAATTATAGTAAAAAAAATTCTTTATGTATGTTTTGTTGACTTGTTTCATTATTCTTGTGTTTTACTTTATGATATTGTATTTCATTGCATTAATCTTGTGTAATTCTTTATTAAT